CAGCCTATAATGGAATGCGGCCGCAGGACTGCGGGCTCTCCGGTGTTACCACTGCCTTATTTACTCCAAGTTGACTCTCCTTCCCTCAGCATTTTTCTATGCCCTGGTTTGGTCACGAGCAGGTGTCGTTTTGTCTGGTTGCCTTTTACAGTCCCACCCAGTCACCTCCTTCCCAGAGGGCCTGGCATCCTCACTGTGGGAGGCGTGGTAATCGGCCCTGCTTGTTCGCCTACTCTTGCAGGGGACTTTTAAGTAAGCACAGGGCAAGGGGATCCTCTTCGTTTGGTCAGCTAAATTCAGACAGACTACTCACTGGATAGGACAATTCTAGGATAAATGTCATCTTGGGGGGACCTGTGACGCGAATGTCGGCCTCTGGGGGTAGGAAAGCCTGGGACTTGGAAGCACCTCTCTGGAAGTCAGTCATGAGGTGAAGGAGGCAAGGACTGAGGGCAGATGCTCACAGCTTCAGGCTGGGTATAGAGTGTGTTCTCACCACCCTGTCCCCTACCCAGGATTCTCTCCTCCATCAGGACCAGTTGCCATGATGCGTGCTGGCAGGAGTTTGGAAGGCATCATCGGCCCCTTTGGGAGCGCCTCCAACCTCTCTCTGGGTGGCCCTGGCCCACGTGAGGCCTTGGCTTCAGTTTCCTGAGCTGTCAAGTTCTATGAGGCTCTATGCCTTGCTTCTCACATGGCAGAGGGAATCGCTCAGCCTCTCTGTAGGGATGATTCAGTTTGGAGGTCCCCTTACAGAGTCAGGCCAGGCAACCTCTCAGAGGACCCTAGGACTTGCCCATTCTGCCCTGAAAACTCGAGCGTGGGATAGGGCCCTGCGATGTTAATACTAATCCCTGATGCAGAACGACCTCGGAGAGAAAGCACCCGGGTTAAGCAGAGACTCCTGTTTAAAGGAAATGATATGTGGAAGAGACTCAAGGTCTTGCATCTCCAAGTCTGTTGGGCATGGAGGCACTTTATGGTTTGAACATGCCTTGCTTCCTCTGAGATACACATTCAAACTTGGTTCCCAGTGGGACAGCGCGTAGAGGCTGTGGACCTTTAAGAGGTGATCAGATTGCTAAGAGGGATTAGTGGGTTCTCTGGTGGTGGTGGGGGGGGGACTGGATTAGTTACTGCAAGAGTGGGTTGTTAGAAAGCAAGGGCTGTCCCTTGTGCTTTTTCTCTTTGACACATGCCCCCCTGCTTTCCCACCAAACTAGGAAGTAACAGGAGGTCCTGGCCAGTTGCCTCCCGATCTTGGACTTCCAGCCTTGAGAGCGGTGAGCTGGACAAACCATGCTTCATAGTCCTCACCCAATCTACTAGGAGGGACCGAAGGCAGGCAGTGCCTCCTGGGGCTAGAGCTGCCTCTGGAGACAGCTCTGAGATTCACACCATCACCCCTTGGTCCCCAGGCAGCATCCCTGCTGGAGTTGCCTCATTGGTCCCCGGGGGGATGATAGTATTCACAGTGCCTACGGGGACAGTTGTGGGAGTCAGTCTGAACACTGGCAGCAAGCATGCTAAATGGGCCCAGGAAGGCTGCTGTTGCTCCCTTTCCTTCTTGCCGGGATTAGCATCACAGGGTCCATATCTAGGGAAAGTGAACACGGTCATCCGTGGCAGGTCCATGTTGGGTTTAAATGGATTGGAAAGCACAGAAGGGTATGTCTGGGGGTAGCATTAGGATTTGAGACATTATCCACTTTTTTTTTTTTTTTTTTTTTTTGGAGGCAGGGTTTCTCTGTGTAGCCCTGGCTGTCCTAGAACTCTCTCTGTAGACCAAGCTGGCCTTGAACTCAGAGATATTCCTGCCTCTGCTTCCTGGAGTACTGGGATTAAAGCCATGCACCACTACTGCATGGTAAGACATTATCCGTTGTAGGGCTTAAACAGTTAACAGCAAATCTGAGTGGCTATTCCTCCATTGTAGCCCCCCCCTTTTGTTTTAGGCATGCAGGTATTCTGTCTGCATGTATGTCATGTACCCCATGTGTGCCAGGTGCCCAAGGAGAAGACGGCATCAGATCCCCTGGAACTGGAGTTACACATGGTTGTGAGCCACCATGAAGGTGGGTGATAAGAATCCAGCCCAGGTTCTCTGCAAGAGCAGCCAGTGCTCTTAATGGCTGAGTCATCTCTTTAGCTTGGCCTTTGTCTTTTTATGGGGTGGGGGTGGGGTGGGGAGCAGGGTCTCACTGTGGCCCAGGTTGCTCTCATACTCACATAGAGCTCAGGCTGGCCTTGAACTTGCAACCCTCCCTCAATTTCCAGGATGTTGGGAGTCCACACATACAGTATAAAGCCCAACTTCCATTGCGATTTTTTTTCTTTCTTTTTTTTTTTTTTTTTAAGACAGGGTCTCTTTAGCCCAGGCTGGTCTCAAAAGTCCCTACATAGCCAAGGATGACATTAAGACTTCTGACCCTCTTGCCTCTATTTCCCCAGTTTTTGTGATAACAGCTGTGTACCATCACACCCAGTCTATGCTTCCTTGCATGCTAGGTAAACACTGGACCAACTGAGCTACGTTACAAGCCTCCATTGCGGCTTTCGAGGTGGGCAAACCAGATTCCTGTTCAGCGCTTCTCCCCTGAGCCTTTCCTGCTTCTTCAACTCAACTTGGGACATTCCTCTTTCTCGAAACTTTGCACAAACGTTACCACATCAGCAGCCTGGGGTCACAGGGCCATCAGTCAAGCACACACACGGGGCTTGTTCCTCTCTGTGTGATCTCAGGCAAGACACTTGACCTCTCTGAGCCTTGTTGCTCTGGGGATGGATAAGCCTCACATGGCAGCTCTGTGAGCAAATAGCATTAAACAAAATGGCGTACATAAACACTCCTGGCACGCGGCAGACACTAAGTGTACACTGGCTCCCTTTCCTTCACAGAAAAGCCCTGAAGAATCCCACCTGCTTTGGTCAGTCATCGACGCCCATCAGCCCAACCAACACACATTCCTCTTCTTCCGGAGTCGCCATGAATAACTGCTCAACTCTTGGTTTTCGTTGTTGCTACAGATAAGGTCTCACTGTATGGGATCTTGCCTCGCAGTGAACTTATTGCAATCCCCCTGTCTCTGTCACAGTGCTGGGGATGTATGTGTGAACCACTACACCCGGATTCACTTTTCCCTTCCCAGATGTCTTTAGTTTTGGCACTGGGGATCGAACCTGTGGCCTGGTATATTCTAGGCAAGCACCGGACCAGTGAGCTCTACCCATGTTTCTCAATGTCTCCGCAGTTCTACAGTCTGATTCATTTTACCTCATCGGGCCCCGTCTCTACTCTCTGGACATAGGGCTTAGCTTGGACATAGCTCTGAAAGCCAAGTTCCTATCCAGGGTGTGCCTGGGTGTGCCGAGTGGAAGGCCTTTTCTGAGGGGAGCTGTGTGTGCACAACACAGCCCAGGTGACCTTGTCATAGAGCTGTCTCCTCTCGACCGAACAGGAGAGGATTAAGACCCAAGTCATAAAGTGGGGGGCAGGAAAAGCCCAGTAAGCACCAGGTGAGGCCCTGGGCTGCTCAGGGTAGGGGCCTCAGCAAACAGAACATTAAACCAGGGCCCCTCCCCACTGTACCAGCTTTAAACCCCACAGTGTGGGAAGTTTGGCCCGAGGCCTCTGGATGACCCCAATCTCATTCCCACTCTCTCTGGATGGCTGAAGGCGCAAAGATAAGCGGCCCCCTTGAAGCATGCAGCCCCCAGGAAATCCTGTAGGAGATAGGCTGGGAGGGGTGCGGGGTGTGAAGTGGGAGGAGAGGCAGATAAGGGTCTCTGGGACAGAGGGGACAGCACCTGTGCTCGGGAACCTACTGCAGGGACTATGGAGTTAGGTCCCCAAAGCACGCTAGGGCATGGTAATGAGAGCCAACCCCAGACCTAATGAGCTGCTTCTGGACAAAGAAAGCCCTCACCTGAGCATAGGAACAGGGTGAGGGAAGCTGCCCCTCTGGCACCCTGTGCACCCTCCCGTGTGAGCACGGCTCGCCCACCCACAGCTGCGTACCTATTCCTGTTCCTTTTACACTTTTCTCTTCTCTTCCCCAGCTCACCTGCTGTTCCGTGGGCCTCTGTCCCCTCTTAGGAGCAGGGATCTGGGTTCCCATGGGGGGGGGGTTTAGGGGGTTGCTTAGGCAACAAGGAAAGCAGAACCCACACCAACTGGCCGCCAAGAGGAAAAGACAGGCAAAAGGTAGAGGACGCCACCAGACCCCCTCCTGGCCATAGTCACCTGTGCCTGGCTCCTGTCCCTGGGCCCAGAGCTGCACCCATCACCCGTGGGGTGTCATTCACTGTATGGTGTCATTCCCAGCAGTCCCGGGCACCCCAATCACCAAGGAGTTGCAGACAGGTAACACTAGGAAGGCAGTGGCCAAAGAGGGGGTCCTCTCCCAGGCACAGCTGCAGAGGCTGCATGGGAGCAGGAGGTCTGGAGAAGGGCCTACCCTCAGAGGGTGACAGTGGGGAGCAAAGGACTGGTTCCTGTGGGACTCCTGGGCTGGGGAGTTTTTGAGCTCTGGGGAGGACTCTCATTGGCTTCAGACACAGGACCCAAACTGACTCTTTTCTGATCTTGCTCATTAGGGTTTGGTGCCTGGCATGGGATGACGGGTGACACTTTTCCTCTAGGGACTGACAGATGTCTTTGGGCCCGAGCGAAAAGCCCAGTGTCTACAGGTGGCCTTTAGGCTCCGTGGGGTGGATGCCTCACCAGTCACAAGGCGGGGGCTGAATCTAAAGTTCTTCTCACAGGGAAACCACAGGACCCACTGGAAGTTCAAGGGTATCAGCGACCCTTACAGACGTGGGTGGGATGTATCAGCCTGGTCACGCTTCCACGGCACTATCGACCCAACTGCTAGGGTGGCCGTGCTTATTTATACTCCACCACTGGGACAGGGGTTCTGTCACCCGGTTAAGGACTCTCACTGAGCTAGGCTAGGTGGTGGCTGATTATGTTTAATTAAGGACTTCTTAGCAGACACAAGCCATTTCTCCAGGCCCTCTGTTTATTGACCATTAAAAAATGAGAGAGAAATTCAGTCTACCAGGCTGAAGAGATGGCTCCGCAGTTAAGAATATGTACCGCTCTTGCAAAGGACCCATATTTGGTTCCGTTACCCACACCGGGCAGCTCACAACCACCTGCAACTCCATCTCTAAAGAACCTAACACCCTCTTCTGGCCTCTGTGGGCACCGACATTCCCATGTATGTATGTACACAGACCCATACACAGACACACGTAATTAAAAATAAGTCTAAAAAAAGAGAAAAGGAGAAACGCAGTATAGGAGTCACCAGCTCCAGCACACATTACTCTCTTCCAGTCTCCAGGCAAGAATTGGGATTTCTGAGGTTCCCCCTAACACATCCTCCTCTAGAACAGACAACAGACTCTGGCCCCTTTCTGCCTGGCTAAAAGGTATTTCCCTGCATGGAGGCAATTGTTTTCCTCCTTATAAAAGCTCAGAGTAGCCGGGCGGTGGTGGCGCATGCCTTTAATCCCAGCACTCGGGAGGCAGAGGCAGGCGGATCTCTGTGAGTTCGAGGCCAGCCTGGTCTACAGCGCGAGATCCAGGAAAGGCGCAAAGCTACACAGAGAAACCCTGTCTCGAAAAACCAAAAAAAAAAAAAAAGCTCAGAGTGGTGCTGGCAGCACAGTCTCCAGGCTAAGAGCACCAACATCACCTGGGACGCCACAGAACCGAAAAGCCCTTGCTCCAGCCCAGAGCCAACTGGCTCAGAAACCCTGACGACATCAGCAAGGTCTCTAGTAGACTTGGGTGCTGCTCAGTTTGAGAACTACTAGCATAGAGGGTTGCCCAAGGACCTGTGCTGGGAGTTTCCCATTTCTGAGAGCCTGTGAGGGTGTGGGTGGTTGGCCACTACAGAGGTCTTCCAGAGGCAGGTAGGCCACCCACCTCCCACACTCCAGCTGTAAGCAAACACCTGACCCCCCGGAGAGCGGGCATCGGCTGAGGTCAGGCTTTGGAGTCCTTCCCTTCCAGCTTCCAGACACAGCAGCAGCAGGGATTCAGATGACTCGGCATTGCCATGGCAACTGCATCTCTCTAAAGCTGGTGGGCACCTGCAGCAGGGAGCAGGCAGTGCGGGGAAAGGAGTCTACCAGTAGATGAAGAATGGTAGGTGAGAAGAGACGTTCAGGAGAGCTGTAATCACGCACCGGAGCTAGAAGGGTGGGTGCTTCCTCAGGACCCAGGAGGGCCAGGTTGGTGGCACACACCTCTCACCTTTCAAGATGGAGAGGCAGGAAGATCCCAAGTTCCAGGTCGGCTAGGATCTCAATCTTCCCCTCAACACACACAAAAGATGGTCCAGGGAGCATCTGGTTCTCCCATACCACATACAGCAGCGATCTAGGCCAGGGTACTGTAGAGTGACTGGACTCCCCAGACTGGAGCACCTGCCATTGCCTGTCTTTCACAGATCATCTGCCTAAGTTAAATTAAGTGGCTATGGAAAAATGAACAAGGAAGTTCCCACCACAGAATGGCCTCCTGTGTTCCAGGTTGGGGAGGCAAGGACAATGGTACAGATCTTTGTCTGAAAGCAGACGCCAAGACATCAGGGGCCTTAGCTATGGGTTTCTAGCTCTCAAAGAAATTAAGAATTGATATAACAAAGGTAGACATCATGTCTCCAATGCTGGCATCAGAGGCACGAACCCAGACCCTTTCTTGGCCCTCAACCCTCTCCATGGCCGAGGTGGCCAGCATTTCCTGCAGTGAGGTGAGCGTCACTCCTCCCAAGGAGCAGACTGGTAGAGAGCAGTTTGGCCCTGCAGCCCTGGGTAGTTTGCTTTGTTCCTGTCTCTTGGGGGAAACAGCAAGCTCGTGTGAGGAGTCAGGAGGTGGGAGTCTGCCCTGTTCCCGGGCACAGAGTGTGAAAAGTGAAGATGGGTAAGTATAGACAACATAGTGTTGTCTGTGAGGCTGTCACACCCTTACAGTCGATTTCATCATTGGGGTGTGCAGTGTGTTCCCGGATCTTCCTACATGGGAGTGTTCATCTTTGCCCCACTGGCCTTCCGTAAGCCCGAATCCCCTTTCCCTGAGTGTGGTCAGCCTTTCACTGTGATTATGGCTGCTCAAGCCCCTGCTGGTCCTCAAGGTCCTGCGCTCTGCCCATTAACCAACCACACGTGTGTCAGGGAGCCAAGTGTTTTTGTGACAGCTGAGCGGAAGCCAGCTCCCAACTCCCATTTTCCTTTTCGCTCTCACAGTGGCGGTAATCCATGCCTTTCCTACACAGTACCTAGGACACTGAGGACCTTGACTCAGCAAGGTCCCTATCACTTCTCCCACTCCAGCCTTGACTCACTCCAGCTAGAACCGGGAGTGAGGCGGGGAGAGAGAGAGACAGGCGGGGAAAGAACGCAGCAGCATCCACCCTTGTCCTCCCAACTGCTCCTTGAGGAGACTCTCCTGGGACTCCATCCATGTGTGGCCTCTGCACACACCTCAAAATTAGGGGAGGGGTCTGCAGAGGTGGGTATCGGATGCTGCAATGCCATCTGTGGGCCCTCTCTCTTCCCTCCAGTCACTGCCCTTTATAAATATTTATAGTAGCTCTTCTACTAAAAATAACATCCTGGAGCTCAGGGAGCAGGAAGAAAAAAAATATCAATGTGAATTGGACTTGGTGATCACATGTGCCACAGGACCCCAGGGGAGAGGACGCATGAGCAGCACCCACGCAGTGCGCCCCCTGGCTGCCAGCCCCAGCTCGGCCACTTAGCACGCTGCTGCCTCCCCCAGTGACTGGACCACAGAGTCCTCTGCCTTCCTCCTGGCTGCGGAGCAACAGTATAGCACAGCACTGTGCAGGCGGAAGTTCAGAGAGGAAGGGGGGGGGGGGGCGGAGACGGGACTATTTTTAGCACTGAGGCCAGGGTGTTAATGTCTGTAGAACCGAGCAAGGCCTGCAGCTTTCTTTGCACAGACAGAAGACCTGTTGGTTTTTTAAAGGTCAAAGGTAGGAAAGAAACTTGTGTGCCCACACCAGGGGGCCCGTACCCTGTGCTGGCCAGACGCCAGGAGGAACCCCGTTAGGTCAGGAACACACACACACCGGCTCAGCGCTTTTTCTTTTCTTTTCCACCTCCTGGTAAATTCCTGACGCAGAGATGAGACCATGCCCTGAGGGAGGAGTGCAGATGCTAGAACATGCAGGGCTATGCACGGAGGCCCACCAGCTGGGGCCTCGGGCAGTCCCTCCCACTTCCCATAGGCTTGGCTCCTCTCTCCCGGGGGTTGAGTGAGTCTGGCAGCCTGCAAGCCCGGTCCAGGTGTGCAGCAGCAGCAGCAGCAGCAGCACGGACAGGAATGCGCCTCTGGGGGAAGACCTTCCCTTGTCTTGTGGGTGCCAGCCAGCGTGCTCCTCCTCGGCCTCTGTGCCTGGACAAGACAGACTGTTAGTCACAAGCACACTGGGGGCACAGGGCAAAGATGCCAACAGCTGGGAACCAGCAGATCCGCAGGGAGGGTGGGGCCGGGGCTCTCAGCTCTTCAACTGCATGTAGCTGCCTTTTCTCTTTTGGTGGGACAGGGTTGGGGTGGGGTGACAGTGTGTGCCTTCTGAGGTCATTGCTTATGTCAAGAAACTGGGTCACAGTGGCAGGTTTGGAAGGGGAGGGGTGCGGTCAAGGAGATGGGCAGAGGGAGGGGAGAGAACCCCTGGAGGCAGAGAGCATGTCACAGTGTGTGGCACTTTTCATCTGTCTCTACTGCTGGCTCCTCATGACTCCTGACACGGGTCCGAGGACAGACAGTAGGGGAGGCAGAGACACCAGCCGATTCCAGTCCTGGCACCAAGTCCTTGGCGCCTTCGTGTGCACCGAAGGAGCAGGCTGGCTGGTGCTCACAAATCTCCTTCCCACGCAGTCTTTCTTGGGAAGAAAGTGTGCCCCAGTGTCCCCCCTAGGGACAGAGGGGACCCAGCAGGTTCCTGAAGGCCTTTGAGTCAGTTCCTGACCTCACCAGCAGCATGCGGCAGCCTGGGCTTGCCACAGGAAGGGCCTGATCTGCATATACCGAGCAGAAGTACCCTGGTGCTGGCCCACCTGCAGCCAGCTCAGCAAAGCAAGTGTGCATGCAGGTTGACCTTTCGGGAAGGGTGGGGACCAGTTCAGCCCAGAGGCAGCTCTGAGATGTCATTCTTAGAAGGCTATCTGAGAAAGTCCCTTTTCCGGTTGGTGGTGCCATGGCCCTGGGTTGTTTTTTTTTTTTTTTTTTTTTCTACCCTGAAGATTTGTAACTGAAAAGGATGTCCAATTTTTAAAAATAAGAAGTGGCTGGGCGGGGGTGGCGCATGCCTTTAATCCCAGCACTCAGGAGGCAGAGGCAGGCGGATTTCTGTGAGTTCGAGGCCAGCCTGGACTACAGAGTGAGTTCCAGGACAGGCACAAAGCTACACAGAGAAATCCTGTCTCGAAAAACCAGAAAAAAAAAAAACAAAACCCAAAAAACAAATAAAAATAAGAAGTGGAGACCAGGCGTGGTGACACACTCCTTTAGTCTAGCACTTGGGAAGCAGGGGCAGTCAGATCTTCTTGAGTTCTAGAACAGCCAAGCCTACATAGTGAGACTCTCCGTCTTGAAAAGAAAAAAGAAAAAAAGAAAATAAAGCCAATTTGGAAGTTGCATCAAGACTACAGTTTAAAAAAAAAAAAAAAAAAAGCGCCAGACTCATTCCTAAGACCAGAAGAGTGTCTGTCTGTCCTTTGACTCCCTGGCTCTCTGTGGTCAGTGTGGCTGGGTCGGGACCCCATTAGGAGGCAGTGCTGAGTGACAGGATCCCAGGGGAATTCTTGCTGTGGGTACAGTGGACACAGAGGACAGGACTACAGAGGCAGAGGCAGCCCGGGGAGGTGGCTACTCTCGGCTGGTACTCTGCCACCCGCTCCAGTCAGTGCCATTGGCGACCCCCCGGGGCCACAGACACGCGATGCAAGACAGGCCACTGCCTGGAACCAGTAAACAGGTCCAGTAGCGGCAGCTGTGGGGGAGCGGAGGAGAAGGAGCAGCTGGGTTCTTTCAAGAAAATTCCAACTGTAAGGGAAGGCTTGCTCTGGCGTGGGACCTGTGAAGCAAGAAAGGGAAGAGGAAGGCGAGGACACACTACTCACCTGAGTTTCCTGTGTCCGGGCTGCTCCTCGGCTAACCTGCGGCAGCATAGGCAGAAACAATACTGAGGTCACACTTGGGCTCTTCACAGCCTCCTGCACTTCTCTAAGGGGGCTTTCCTGACCCACCCGGCCCAGGGGCTAGCCTTCTGTCTCCTTTCTTTTTCGTTTTCCTGCCAGGGATAATGAGGTAGAGGTAGATTGCTCACAGCCCACAACTCAATTGGCATGGAGTGCTGTGAAGGAAAGTTAGCCAGGGGAAGCAGAAGCTACCTCCACTCTAGGGGGCAGTTATAGGGGAGCAGAGCCCGCTTGGTTCTGAAAGGGAAACAGTTTTGACGGGGACATTGCTTTTCTACACTGTGGAACAACTTGGCTATCCAGATCCCCCTTGGATGTCCATGTGTGTCTTTAGAGAGGGGGCCCTTGGAGGTTCCGAGCCCCTGTCTGTCCTCAGAGAGGGCCACTGCTGCCCGGATATGCATGAGGGTGCTTCAGTGTATAAACTTTTAGGGGACATTCCGAAGGACACAGAAGTTCTGGAGTGGCTCGGGTGAACGTGGAGTGCTGGGGCAAAGAGAGGAGGAGACAGTCTATGCCTCAGTCTGCAGTCTTGTTTTACACGCAGGATAAAGGGATGCTCAGAGGGAAGGGTTCCACAGAGTAGCAGCATCCTTTTCTAGAATTCCAACAGCCCCAGAGTAGGGCGGACAGAGGTGAGAGCTGGGGTGAATATGGCAGAGAAGCCTGCTGTGGTCAGAGTTCTTCCAAAGTGCCCACGTGGTGCTCATGCCTTGTGTGAAGACATTGGGCATGCTGAGCTGACTGGGTCGTGTTGAAGGCACGTGAGCCTGACTTCACCCCAAAGAAAAGAAATCCTCCTCTGTAAATTGGTAGCTATTGATTTTAAATGTCCCCACCCCAGATCTGCACCGACTCGCACATTGTTTAGAGGCAAACCAAAACAAACTCTCCTTATCTCGCCCCCGACTCTTTACCCTCTTGCTCTTAGAGATGGCACCTAAATGCCATAGAAGCTCAGGCATTCTCACAGCCTTCACATGGACAGACAGACCCTGGTGTGCGCACTCAGAGGGACAAAGGGAGACTCAGAGCTAAGAGCAAGCATCCAGTCAGACAGAAAGGGACTGACAGGGTCAGCCAGGGACAGAGACAGAGGCCCCGAGCCAGGTCAGGCCAACAGAAACCACTCCAATTCCGACAAGCAACTGAGGGGGTAGGGTGAAGTCCATGGTTAAGACAAGGTGGGGCGGTAAAGGCAGGGCTCTAGGCTTGCTTTGGGGACACGGAGGGAAGCTGAGGAGGGGCCTGGAGGAGGTCCCAGGACGGGAAAGCACACAGGAGGGGGGTCAAGGCAGTAGCTATGACTTTAGTCAAGAAATTTCCACAGCAATGCTCAAGTTTAGTTGGGATATGGGCATGAGTCGATGTTCACCTGAGTGGCATGTCTCTGTCCTCCTGCCTCATGGCCCTTCTTCTCTGAACCTGGACCTCCGGATGGCTGTTCTCCTCTGACAGCCTCAAGTGTGGCCAGGGCAGCAATTCCCACCCGCTCATGCCCGGTGGCCCATTTCTCCCAGGCCTCATTTTGGCTTCCGAATGCTTTCTCTACATGCGCAATGTTTTCCCCTGTCTCCTTGGTAACGTTGTCACTGCCCTTGCTGACTGGTTTCCTGCCCCCAGCCGGCAAATACTCTCTCTTAAATGTACTATCCCAGGGGCAAAACTGCCTTACACAGCCACTGTTCTGAGGGGGTTCCCACCTGTCCCCGTGACTGCTTTCCACCTTGCACTGGGGGCCCCTCCACGCAGTCTAGTTCTGCTTGGACTCCAAAGCCCTGGGCTTGGAGCTGGAGTGGATCCAGGTCCTGCCACTTATTAACCTGCCCAGTTAATAAGCCTTGGAGCCTTGGCTAGAATTCTCCCCCTCTGGGGCTGGGAAGCCAAGTGAAGACGAAGACGACTGTGTTACAGACTTACCTACGGGTCTAGGAGGCAGCTAGGAGCCAGCACGGGTCTCTCCCCACCTCTCCTGCTTTCCCCCTTCACCTCCTGAGGCTGGGGGATCACTCCCTCTCACCTAACGATAGCATGTCTGCCGCCCTGTTCATTTCCTTGGACGGGTTCATTCACTGACATTACTAGAAGACAGGCACTGTTCCAGACACTGGGAATACATCACCAACAGCACAGGCCAAGACCTCTGCCTTAGGGAGTGTACGTTCTGGAGGAATCCAGAAACAACGTATCGGTATAGGACAGACATAACTGGAGACTCTCAAATGTCTCAAGAGGATTTCGTTATTGGCTTAATATCCCACTGGAAGATGACCATCAAGAACATGAAGTTCGGTACACAGAGAAACCCTGTCTCAAAAAACCAAAAAAAAAAAAGAGAGCGAGAACATGAAGTTTGGGAGTCAGAAAGACCCACTTCAAGTCTACTTATACTTATTCTCACATAGAGGCTGTGTGAACAGACTCCCCCAGAATCTGTTTCCCTATTACTTAAATGGGGATATTATCTGTATATTTTAACATAAAGGATCACATGAGATTTTACATGAAATCAGTTAGCACAGAACAAGTACATAAATAGTTTCTATGCACAGTAAGACTCGGAAGGTATTACTGTCCTTGGCCAACACCTTTGTTCCTCGCTTTTACTCTCCAAGGAAGCCATCTATTCCAACCTACAAGTCTCTTACTTTTCAGAACGTCTTAGTATTATTTATTCTACATCAATAGTCTGTTTTGAGACAGGGTTTCTCTGTGTAGCTCTGGCTCTCCTGGAACTTGGTAGACCAGACTAGCCTCGAACTCAGAGACCCGCTTGCCTCTGCCTCCTGAGTGCTGGGATTAAAGGTGAGCACCACTACACCCAGCTTTAACGGTGTTTTCTTCTGAGGCAAGGTTTCATGTGTCCCACACTGACCTCAGACTCACTTTGCAGCAGAGAATGAGCCTGAATTTCGGATCCTCCCGACTCTGCCTGCCGAGTACCAGGATTCCAGGTGCAAGCCACTGCTCCCGTGGTTCGTGTGGTGTGGGGGTTTGGCCTGGCCTTTGGGTGTGCTAGGTGAGCCATCTCCCAATGGAGCCACTCCCCCAGCTAACATGGGATCCTTCCTGATCAAGCTTTTCTGCTGCTTTGGTTCCTCCCACGCTTCTTCTACACAGCCCGGTTGTGCTTCCCCAACTAGACCGTCAACCCCAGGAGGAAGGGCACTCAATGTTCTGTGACTTGTTTGCACCCCAGAGTAGGAGTAAATGGCCTGACACTACCACCTGTGGGCCCACAAGGCAAAGGCAGCTGGGAGAACAGCAGGAGGCACTGTGGGGGCTGCAGCCTTGGGGAGGGTGTGGTAGGGGAGAGGTCAGAAACAAAGGGAAGGAGGTCAGCATCCACTGCTCTACGGCTTGGTCTCCCATGCAAACTAGGGGTCCTGACTTGCCTTTACCTCCGTCTTTCTCAGCCTGCATCTTCTCGTCTTCCTCTGTACCTTCCTCTGCTGTGGAAACAAGTCCAAGAAGGCCAGTGACCCTTGGGTCTAGCACCAGGGTGGGAGGCAGGTGAGGGAGGCAACCTGGAAGGCCCGAGGTCTGAGGCAGAGCCCTAAGGCAGCGAGCAGCCTCCAGGGTGTATAAATGTCCCTTGCCTGTGCCCAACAGTTCCACACCCTGGTACTGTTTGATTGGAACCCTGCACACCCATGAAGCAGGGGGCATGATGTTAACCTGCTGGCATCTTTGGAGATCGGGGGGGGGGGGGGGAGGGGGCTGCTATCTACTAGGGTTATACTCAATATTTTGCATTCAGGTTCAAGAAAACAATCATAGCAGTGCATGGTGGAGGGAAGCCCAGATTAAGACCGGCTTTGAAAGGGGACTGTGTGCTCAACACTGGGTGTTCTCGCTGAATCTGGACCTTGGAAATCAGGCCACATCTCGCCAGGTATGGCCAAACAGGAGAGCAGACAATCATGACATATTTGATACATGTTAAAGGGATTGGGTAGAATCTCCTAAAAAAGGAGAAATCTTGGGAGTTACCACACTATCTACCACCAACCACTCTAAAGCTGGCCTGGAGAGAAAGTCTGGACTTAGGGCAGCTTTAGGCAAGAAACAACCCATGACAGAAAGGGAGATTTTAGCTCCCTAATAAGGAAGAACTCTCCAGTGATTAGAGCTGGCTATAAATGAGCTCCCTGGAAATATAAATGAGCCTTCAAACTGGAGGCTTCTAAATTGACAGCAAGTTCACTGAAATATCTTTAAGACCCCTTTGAACTCTAGGATTCCATTACTTGAAAAAAAATTTGAAAGATGAGGAAGAAAAACTATAGATGTGTGTCCTGTGCATGCTGTGGGAGGTGTATGAAAAGTCAACCTGGATATCCACTCCTATCCTAACCAAAGCCACCTTCAAGGAAGAAGTCAACATGCGTCACATGGGCAGGGCTCTCCCATCCACCAAGGGATAGGATTTATCTCTGCATTTAACGAGGGTGCTGGGTGATGGATGTCTATGTCAAACTACAGGCCTCTGTGCTTGGGGAAAGGAGCGTCACAGAACCTGCCCCGTTGCCTGTCGTGGGTCGGCTCAGAGCCCTGGCTTCATGTTTCTCTACATCCAAGTTCTAGAACTAGTTTTGCCTCTGCATGCTGTGTGATCACAAGCAACTTCCCTGAAAACTCCCTTACCATATTTCTAAAATAAGAAAGTTGGACAACAGGACCGTGAACATGCCTTCTAAATGACACAGTTTTATTAAAACCAACTTTGCATGTTAACTGATGTTCTTGCCTCCCTCCCCCACCATAAAGCCTAGGTGGGCTTTGAATTCATAAGGCTCCCAAGAATTGGGGATTGCAGGCATGCACTGCCATCCTGCCTCGGTCCCTGTCCATCAAATTCCACTCTCATTCTCGAGCCCTGAGCTTGTGAGTCACCTGTTTTTGCATAGACTCTAACTGTACTCTCTCTGCATGTCCTAGAAGTCCCTGAGAAACTCCCTCTAAAACTGTAAGTGAAGTCTATTAGGGAGCTAGATTAGAGAAAGGGCCTTCTAATCAGCTGCGAGGTCTCCTGAGGTCACCCTCCCCGACCCCCCGTCCAGCTCTGTGCATATACAGTGAGGGCTGGGCTTCAGTGTGGCCATGAGCAACAGGATGAGAGAGGGCGAGGGCCTCAAATGGCCCGTGGCAGAATGGGCGAGCGAGCTGAGCTGGGAAAGGCCAATCAGGCCACAGGAGTAATCTCTTCCGAAGGAAAACAGATGGACGTGAGGGCTGAGGTGTGGAAGAGATGACAGCCCTCAAGGAGATGCTTTCCCATGCTGAAAATAGGGCTTGCCTTCCACAGGAGTGTCTGAACGGCCCACGGAAACACGGCTCTGCTAAGCCACTGCAGAGTATTTACAGGCACTGCCTTGGGTAATGAAGGACAGAGAGGGCCCTGTGGAGATGGCAGCCCCACAGGAAGGCCGTGGCAGGAGAATAATCCCTAAGCACTGAGTGGCTCCATCACTGATGGAGCGGAAGGGTACTTGGAGGTACGGTGGCTTTGTCCTCTCTCTCCCTCTCTCTCCCCCCCGCAGGGTTCATGTAAGGGGAACACGCTGTGGAGCAGAGGAAGGGGTCAAACAGGACTGAGCGTGAAGAAGGGAGGGCGCTGCAGCTGGGGTCTTCAGGCGAGATCAGAGCCTGCTCACGGACAAAACAGAGTCAGACAGGAGGAAGCCGGAGGGCGGCTGGAATAGAGACAGGTGGCTTGGTGCTGACGGCTGCCACATCCAGGACAGCTTCAGAAGGAGGTGATGGCCAGCCTAGGGAGAGAGCCACTGTGGACAAAGTGGAGGTGGGAGGGAGGGAGAGAGGGAGAGAGAGGGAGGGGGGGGGCTCTGGCTGCACTGAAGAGCAGACCTTCCTTCAAGTTGGAATGGTGTCTGCTCCTTCAAACTGTTCTTAATATAAGCTGTGATCGCATGTGGGAGGGAGGAGGCACTGGGTGAAGAGTCTGGGTGTTCCTAGAAGGGAAAATGGAGTGGAAAGAAGGGCTGTGTGCCTGGTGGTAGGAGAGGACAGGAAGACGTGAGCACAGAGGGGAGGGAGGTGGAGACTGGTGGGGAGCTCTGGGTTTCACCTGAATGGAGCTCCTTCACCAGGGATGACATGGTGTTGGTGATGGAGTCAGCAGCCACCAGCAGGTCATTGCGGAGGTTTCTCCTCGTACCTGAGGAGTCAGAACAGATCGCAATGCAGATGGGTGAGCATGGTGGAGAGCGCTGAGGGATGCCCCAGCCAGTGAGGCCCTGGAACCCGGGTGCAGAGGTGGCTAGGGCAGGTGGGACGGCCGCAGCTCTGCATGCTCCTGGAACGTCCAGTCCACTCTGTCTTCTCCACCGGGAGAGTAGGGGCCTGTCAAGTCCTGTCAAGTCCATGCTTTGAAGGCACCACGGTAGAATGGGGTTCCGGCTTAGCTTTGCCTCAGCACGTTCCTCAGTCTCAGGGTGAGGGGCTTAACTCTGTCTCCATTCCCTCCCCTCAAGACTCCCTTGCCCATTATTTAAGACTGTAGGACCCTGGTTCCTCAGTCGGCCGCGTGGCAAGTGCATGCTTACATGCTTACAGCTCTTTGGTTAGGTCCTATGGAGTTACTGCACTTCCTGTTCTTGCTTATTATAAGGACCTCATAGGGCCAATGTGTGAGGAGGCAAAGCCCAAAGGGAAGGCATTTCCTTCAGTCCAGAGCTTAGAACCCAAGGGGCCAATTACCTTCACGCATGCGCCTGCAGACCTCCCATGGAAGACCAGCCTATCATGGAGAAGGAGCCAGCACATAACTTATTTATACTGTCAATCTGATTACTAAGGCCACACTATCTGATCATCCGAAGCCAGGAACACAAAAGGCAAGTGACTGGAAAAATCCTGGCAGGGATCCTGCATGTGCTTTCAGCCCCTTAGCTCTCCACAGACTCGCCCGGAAACTCACCTTGTGCGAAGGCCTCCTGGACATCTCCCCCAACTCCACTCAGTGAGTCCTGTGGGCCGTGGGTCGGGGTGGAGCCGGCAGACGTGGAACGCACAGGCATGGGCATAGGGCGGCCGCCTCCATGAGTGGGTGATGTGTGAGGTGACCCTGTGGCTTGAGCCTGGGAGGATCAGAGAGAAAACATGTCATCTCGGGTGTCCAATCTCTCTATGAAAAGGGGGAAAGCACTTCCCAGGATCATACTTTTTAGAAACAAAAAACCAAAACCAAAGAACAGGAGCCAGGACTCGGGAAAGGAAGGGAAGGAAGAGAGAAGGGGGCAGTGTGGGAATAAGAACACTAAGAACAGGCTGAGACCTCGTACTTAGGAGGCAGGAGGATGGCTGGGAATTCAAAGGCAGCCTGGGCTACACAGTCAGTTCAAAACTACACGGTAAGAACCTGCCTCAGAAAATCAAAACCAAAAGGAGGGGCGCGTGGCAGGGGCAGCGTCTGCCTCCAGGAGGGTCCAAGAGGGGAACAAACAAACAAACAAAAATCCACCAACATCCTCGTGTTTGCAGGCCAACACTCTGTACCCATCCTTATCTGATCCCACAAGAACCCGTGGGTAGAAAGCACCCATCTTTTCATATAACTTTTAGAGATGAAAATCAAGACCACGGGAGAGGCTTCTCCAGAGTGTGTGGGAGGAAGCGCGGTTCACCAGAGGCCACGCCAGAATAATCCACGGGCAGTGTGTGCCGCGGTGGAGGGGGAGGGCGGTGGTAGGGTTTCTTTCTCCCATGTGATATCCAGCGAAACTGTCACATTGCCATACCCTCCTGGGAAGGTCTGGTTGGGTAGCTGTAGGACCAGGTGAGAGTGACCATAGGCTCATTAGAGGGGGAGCTTTCCTCAAGAAAGCCTAGTATAGTTATGGATTTTCCTCCAAGCTTGCTTTCTCTCTCTCTCTCTTTTTAAGACAGGGTTTCTTCTACATGGCCCTGGCTGTCTTGGAATTATGTAGACCAGGCTGGCTTCAAATTCACGGAGATCCGCCTGCCTCTGCCTCCTGAGTGCTGGGATTAAGGTGTGCACCACCGCCGCCTGGCTGTTCATTACTCTTGAAGACTTATTTTTGACTGGACTTGGACTTGGAAGGAAAAGCTCCTGGCAAGGACGGCCTGCAGCTCTTGGCAATCTGTTTCTGGTATTTCTCTTTGGCTTCCTTCCTTCTCTTGGCCAAAAGCTTAGCACGTTCTGCAGCCTCCTTGTTTTGCTTAATATATTGTTTCTTCAGAGCAGTGTGCTGCGTCTGTGTTGCAGGACACGTGGAGGAGCAAGACGCTGAATCTTGGGTGCACTGGTCCTGGGCTTCTTACCTCCTTTGTTTAAGGGCTTTCTCACAACATTGGAGGACATCATCTTCTTTCGAGAAACTAAGTTTTCAGATTCTGCTAGCTCTTTTGGGCCCCAACCACCGAGGCACAGCATGTCTGTTGGTCCAGGAATATCCTTCTCTCTTAAAAATAACCAAGCTGGGAACAGTCAGCCTGTCGCCCCCAATGCACTCTGAACAGAGGTGCACTTCCCATCTCTAGCTCTCCTTGGTCTGTAACAAGAACGCCGCCACTCACTCCGCTGTGGGTCAACACACCTTGCTTCACGGGGAAACCCTGTCTGTTGTTCATGCAGAGCATCAGCAGCTACTTCTGTGGCCATGCGCTTCTCACAGGAACTTCAACGATTGCGTTCACTGCCCACGTCCATGTTTCCGATGGCCGGCTTCGTCTTGACAGGGTTGACCCCTAAGAAGCAGCTTGGAGCAATGGGGTGTGGCAGCTGGAAGAGTCCCCTGGCCCAGGGGGTCAGATTGGAGGATTTTGGGGAGCAAAACTGGACGAATAGAAGTAACAGTTGAGAACAGGTTCCTGCGAGTCTCTCTGGGGATTTAGCCCAGAGATGCCAGACAGACAGAATATGCCCCACATGGCTGCCTGGAGGTCCACACAATGCTTCCCCTCACTGCTGCAGCTGTGTGGGTGCTGAACGGAATATTTTGTTCTCAGTGGTTCCTATTTTCTAGTTTGTTTTCTGAGACACGGCCTCAACTTCAAGATCTTTCTGCTGCAGTCCCGTGCTGGGATTTCAGGAGCCTGCCGCTCTGTGCTGTTCTCAATGATTCTGGCTGAACCTTTGTGTGTGGGTGTGTCATTTATTCATTAAAAAAAAAAAAGGGTCTCGCCGGGTGGTGGTGGTGGTGGTGGTGGTGGTGGTGGTGGTGGTGGTGGCGCACACCTTTAATCCCAGTACTTGGGAGGCAGAGCCAGGTGGATCTCTGTGAGTTTGAGGCCAGCCTGGTCTACAGAGCGAGATCCAGGACAGGCTCCAAAGTTACACAGAGAAACACTGTCTAGAAAAAAAAAAAAAAAAAAAGGAATCATGTACCCCAGGCTAGCCTTGAACTTGCTATGTTACTCAGGATAGCCTTGGACACCTGTTCCTCCTGCCTCTACCTCCCAAGTACTGGGATTATAGGCATACTGCGATGCCAGCTGTGTGTGTGTGTGTGTGTGTGTGTGTGCTTTAATTTAAGAAATATAAAAGCTCAGAAAATGATCGGATATAACACTATAAACCACCCCAAATGAATAATTCCATACAATTTATTTTAATCAAAAAAAAAAAAAAACAAAAATGGTACAGACAGACTTGAAGACGCCGTTAACCCCCAATTCTTCGCAGGCTCAGTCCCTTCATCTCTTCCCTTTGGAAACTTCCTGGTTTGCTTGTTTGTTTGTTTTCACTTTTTTGTTGTTTTGTTTTTCGAGACAGGGTTTCTCTGTGTAGCTTTGGAGCCTTTCCTGGAACTCGCTCTGTAGCCCAGGCTGGCCTCAAACTCACAGAGATCCGTCTGGCTCTGCCTCCCGAGTGCTGGGATTAAAGGCGTGCGCCACCACTGCCCGGTCTGTTTGTTTTTTAACCAGAGATTTTGGTGTGGAATTTTTTTTTAACCTATGTATACACATATAACTATGAATATAATATTTTCATGCCTTTAAATTCTGTATGAATGGTATTGAACTACAATGATTACTTTTAAATTTGTTTCTATTACTTAGCATACTCTGAGAGAGTGATCCATGATACAAATAAATACGAATTTATCACATCACATTAAAAAAAACCAACCACCAGGAGGTGGCGGCACACCCCTGGAAGGCAGAAGCAGGCGACTTTAGAGTTTGAGGCCAGCCTGGTCTACAGAGAGAGTTTTAGGATAGCCAGGACTACACAGAGAAACCCTGTCTTAAAAAACCCCAAACCAAACCAAACCAACAGAATAACCTCAAAATGGAGCAGAATAAATATTAGACCTAATATCACACAATTTCTCAAAGAAAGCAAAGGAAAATCCTATGCAAAGACTTCTTGGATATAATACCCAAACCATATGTTTAAATGATATAAAAGGAATAAATTTTTTTTATTTATGTTTTAATCATGCATGTTTTTATGTGTTGCCTGGAGAGGCCAGAGATCAATATTAGGTACTTTCTATGACTACTCCCCACTTTATTTTTTCTTAAGATGTATTTATTTTTATATGTGTATTTTTATATCTTTTTATGTGTATGGGTGTTTTGCCTGCATATATATGGGTCTGTGTACCTGGTGCCCAAAGATGAGTCAGATCCCCTGGAACTGGAGTTACAGATGGTTGTGAGCTACCATGTGAGTGTTTGGAATTGAACCCAGGTCCTCTGGAAGAACAGCCAAGTGGTTTTTTGTTTGTTTGTTTGTTTTAAGACAGGGTTTCTCCGTGTAACAGCCCTGGCAGTCCTGGAACTCACTATGTAGATCAGGCTGGCCTCGAAATCACAAGAGAACCACCTGCCTTTACTTCCCAAATGCTGGGACTGTAGGTATGTGCCTCTACATCCAGCATGGCTATTGCTCTTAGCCCCTGAGCCATCTCTCCATCCTCCACCTGAGACGGGGGTCTCTCACTGAACTGGAGTTCACTGATTAGGTTAGTCTAGCTGGCCAGCAAGCCCCAGGGATGTTATTTCTGCATCCCCAGTGCTGGGATTACAAGTGTGTGCCACCCTGTCCTTATTCTTGCATGCCCAGTGCTTTACTGACAAGCCATCGCCCTAGCCCATGATACACTGGCTTTTTTTATCAAGTTAGAGACTTTTACCAAAATATCCAGAAGAGAAAACTTCAAATGTTCTTATCACAAGAAAGTATTACTTGTTTATAATGATGGATATCCTAGTTAATTGATACAATATAACTTAGATCAGGCTGTACTGCAAAAAGATGTAAATTTATCATCTTTTGATTTAAAAAAAAACCCTTTGCTTTTCAAAGTATAGTCATTAAACTCCATATGGGCAGATCAACTAAAAAATGATCAACGATCTACATAAACAAAAACAGAATAGCACTCGGGAGGTAGAGGCAGGCAGAGCTCTGAGTTTGAGGCCAGCCTGATCTACAGAGAGAGAGAGAAAGAGAGAGAGAGACAGAGACAGAGACAGAGAGAGACTCAGTGTTAGATGTGCCTGTAATCCCAGAACTTTGGAGGGAGAGGCAGCAGGGTCTGTGGGTTAGAGACAAGCCTCAGCTGTGCTGTAAGCTTCAGCCAAGACCACCTGGGCTGCATGAGACCCTGATCATTGCTGTCAAAGGACTGGAGTTCGGATCCCTGCACCTACATCAGGGGGCTCCAAGGGAACCAACGCCCACTCTGGCCTCCATGGGCCTGTGCGCACACACACATAAAATAATAAATAATCCGAGTAAAAAAAACAACAAGAGAAAGGATGTCACAAAAGGGAGCCGAGTCTTAAGATGGAATCTCGGATAAGGGACCTTACCTAGCACAGACAAAGAACTCTCCCGACTCAGTCACAAAAGGACAAGAATTCTAATTTGAAAACGGGCAAAAGATCAAGCAGTTAATTCTCTAAAGACAGGAAAACGTCCAACAGGCATGAAAGGATCCTCGATGGCACTGAACACTAGGGAAAGCAATGAAGAGCACCATGAGAGCCCACTTTACAGCCATTAGGATGTAGGCTACAGAAAAGATAATAACAAGAGCCGACAAGAATGTGGGGAAACTGGGATCCTCAGACACTACCAGCAAGGATATGAGAGGATGCAGCT